GAGACTTCACTTGACATTTGAAGTCAAATAATTTGATTTATGATGATTTGATTCAAAGCAGAATCCACAAGTTCTGCCTCTCATGTTGAAGGTCGGAGGGTCGACCTTTTTCTTCTTGGTGTGGAGGATTGTTTCAACAATACGTTATTATTATTCATCATAAGAGTAACCAGGGCGGCACGGTGGCGTGGTGGTCAGCACTGTCCCCTCACAGCAAGAAGGTCCTGGTTCCACCCAGAGGCCTTTCTGTGTCTGCATGTTCTCCCCGTGTCTGTGTGGTTCTCTCCGGGTTCCTCCCACAGTCCAGAGACCTGCTCTGGGGATCAGGGTGATGGTGACTCTGAATGGCCTGTAGGTGTGTGGATGTGAGTGTGAATGGTTGTGTGTCTCTGTGTAGCCCTGCGATTGGCTGGCGACCAATCCAGGATGAACCCGTCTATCGCCTGAAGTTGGCTGATAGACTCCATCCCCCCGTGACCCCGCGTGCAGGATAAGTGGTTTGACGATGGATGGATGGATGGATGGATGAGAGTAACCAGGATTCTCACTCCCTGGTTCAGGATTACGTGGAACATATAAACTGATTTAGTGGGACATTCAGGAGATACGTGATGATAATACTAGTTTATCAAGATAACGAGTGGAGCGTCTCCTGTTCGAGCTGTCCAGATGTCAGAGATGTTCTCACTTCCTGTCCGTGGCTCCATATGTTTCCACTGAAGACCTGGATCTTCACACGTATTATAACACGTATATAACATATTTAATGTTCTTCTCATTCTGGTGGCTAAAGCTAAATCTGCGTTTTTTAGCATAGCGTGTAAATCAACTTTAGTGACCTTCAAAGTCCCAGCGTGCTGCCACCTCCTCTGGTCCAATCAGAATCCTCCCTGTCCAGATGTTCAACCAAAGGGCAGCATCAGGCAGCCAGAGGCATGCTGGGTAGGCGAGCAGCCAGAGGCATGCTGGGTAGGGGAGCAGCCAGAGGCATGCTGGGTAGGGGAGCAGCATGGTCCTAGCTGGTTGGTTCTTGGTCCTTTTGATTGTTATCGAGTTATTGGGCGACCAACGTTAATATTTGATGCTCCAAGCAGCGCTGATTAAATATTCATCACAGTTCTGCAAATGTTTCCACAAACATATTTGAGTCACTTTTCATCTGCAGAACCTGAAAGCTTTTAGCTGGTTGCAATCATCGTTCATGGACGCCTTCCTCTAAGGCCCTGAGGTAACATCTAACTCTCACACACTTTGCACAGATGCATCATGGGGGATATTGTGCCTCCGCTGTTCCTTTAATCCGGTGTCGGGTGGCTCCAGATACTAAAGAGAAGCAACAAATCGTTTACGGACACTTCAGCGCCGCTGAAACCGCAGACGGGGGCCGAAGATAAAGAAAACTAGATGGTGACGACGTAATCGTCTAACTCGAGGCTTCAATATGTCAAGAAACCAACAAGTCACCATGACGACATCCACTTCTCATACTTTGTACAACCGTTTGTTGTCCGAATGTCCACATTCAGAGTGTCGTCACATTGATGAAACCGGGGTTCTCAAAGTAGTCGCTGTCGACCCGTCTCCCTAAAATCACCCCAATGAGCATAAAGGAGCGAGCAGGAGATCCCTGATGAGAAGCTTCACGTGTACCTGGTCATTGATGAGATGATGCTGATGAGAAGCTTTACGTGTACCTGGTCATTAATGAGATGATCCTGATGTGAAGCTTCACGTGCACCTGGTCATTGATGAGATGATCCTGATGCTGAGCTTCACATGTACCTGGTCATTGATGAGATGATGCTGATGAGAAGCTTCACATGTACCTGGTCATTGATGAGATGATGCTGATGAGAAGCTTCACATGTACCTGGTCATTGATGAGATAATCCTGATGAGAAGCCCCCCCACCCCCCTCCAACTCCCATTCATAAACACGCAGGAACACGTAGGAACCTTACATAATGACCTCCCCTTCAGAGCTATTTATACGCCCAGCAGCATACAGGGAAAAGAGCGTTTCAAAAGCAACACATGGCGCTTGGGGGGCTGATGGAGTTATTATTAGAGTAACGTCACGGGGGAGGGGGGGTGAAGTGACAGATGGGTGGGGGGACCCGGTTCGAGTGTCACGAACGCAGTCTGTTAAGTGGGTTTTTTGTCCATCAAGGTGTAAGATTCATGTTGATGTAACTGGGTAAGAAAATACATCACATTGTAGTAATAACATTAATATTCTTTATTCCACAATCTCTATTAAACACCAAAGAATGTACGATCTCTATTAAACATTTTTCCAGAGGAAAAACTAACCAACCGAGTTCATCGTCCCTAAAATCGACGCTATGGTTCAGTATATGTTTTATATCAGTACTTTTACTGCGAGTACTTCCTCCATCTCTTCTTCCTACTGATCTCTGGTGGCCGGCAGGCGGGACGGACGCAGGATGTTAGTGGGACGACGAAGAGGAGATGAAGAGACAAACGTTCAGGTGTTTGTCTGCGTGGGACATGAAGAGGAATCAAACATCAGGAGGCGGAGATCCGCTCCAGTGGCGTCTTCAGCGCATTATTCAACGTCACATTCAGGGGAAGCAGAAATGAAACATGGGACTTTTAGTTTGGATCAAGCAACAACAACAACGAGAGAGACACTTGTCTTCTTATCACTTCTATACGTTTAGCATAGCTTAGCACAAAGAATGGCAACAGGGGGACACAGTTAGATTAGCTTAGCAAAGCGTCTTTAAAACTCTTTATCCCATAGAATCAGTTCATGTGTCGAAATGTAACAGATGGATTCAAAGAGAATAATTAGGGAGCAGAATTATCTTCATGTCTCCGCTTTGTGCTCCTCGTATCCGCCATTTCTTTATTTCACGTAAATGTTTAAACACTTTGCTTTGGGAAATCCCAGCATGCAGCATGTCGCTGCCATTGTTATTAACTCTGTGTGTGTGTGTGTGTGTGTGTGTGTGTGTGTGTGTGTGAGAGCTATTTTTAGGGAGCTCCTCTCTCTTTGAGGGGATTCTAGAGTCTATTTTCGCTGAGGACTAAACCATTGCATATCCAGATGGGTGTGTGTGTGTGTGTGTGTGTGTGTGCGTGTGTGTGTGTGTGCGTGTGTGTGTGTGTGTGTCCTGTAGATCTTTTCTCTGATGGTACGACCTGAAGAATGATAAAAATATAAAGAGTCCCTCCACTTTCCGGGCTGGGGGGGCGACCTTGTTTTGCCCTCCAGCCGGCAGAAATAGTCAAGTCAGTCAGTGAGATACATAATGATCCCACTGATGGTCATAATTATGGAAGAAATAAATGTATTTCATATCTTAATCTTAATATTCATGAGTGTTGAAATATGATTTCATTTTTTTAATAAAAAGAGTTCTGGGTGAAAATGTTATTAACAACTTTGAGAGAAAATAGATCATTGTAATTTTATTCATTTTAGCCAAAAACGGGGCGAAAGGATTCCCGGTGGTCATGTGACCACTTCCCGTAGTAGGCGGAGAGTCCTCGGATTACCGGCCAATCCCAGCCGAGGCGTGGGAGGTGGGAGGAGGAGCAGAGAGCAGCGTGGCCCCTCCCCTCCATGGATCCATCAGCCAAAAAACGACCTGAACGGTCCCCGACCCCCAAGATGCACCAGTGCTGCAGCATCGCGTGTGTTGACAGTTACAATAATGTGCGGCAGGTTTTTCCCAAAACTACACAAACAATATGAGCAACAATATGAGTAATTGTATGGCGTATGTAAACAAATACAATTACTAAGAAAAAATGGTGGATGGCGCCAATGATTTACATCTATGACTCGTATTTTCTATCGTATTATTTATATGGTGAATCAACATAAAACCGTAAAACGCATTTAACGGAAAAATATAATACCGGGGACAAGAGTCTTCGAGCAGCAGACAGACCTTTGTGTCCTTGGTTTTGATCTTCACTGACCGAACAGGCCTTTAGCATCTGGCATCGTTCTTATTACTCTTCCCAGCATCAACGACCTGGCGACAGAGATTCTATTGCATTGCACCTTCAGATGGCTCGTAGTGTCTGTTCCATCATGACCTCCAAGAGGACCATTGACAATCCACCCCAGACGTGTTCCCACAGCAAATGGTCCATGTTGTTGGCTGTTAATTATCTCCGATGGTTCCATTACTTTTGGGGCGTTTGTTTCGATCAGCAGCTCCACTTTGGCATCAATGACAGGAATGTGCACATTGCGCAGGTATGCGCCTCTCTGATGATGTTATCTTTGGTCACAGGCATTTCCTTCTATGTGTACATTCCAGGTGAAACAATGAATTCAGAGTTATCCAGTCGTGAGACCTCAAGATCTGTGACGAAAGGAGACGATACACACTTCTCTTGGCCATCGTATGTAACATAATGCTCATCTTTCTGCCTTTGATTCAACTTTGACATTAACCGCTCTGTGCAGAAACCAGCAGTACTGCTGGGATCAAGGAAGCCAAACACCTTAATAATGTTATCACTTTGCTGCTTTTGATCTGGACAGGAACAATGGAAAGTGCACAGTCATTCTCACCGGCCCCAGTATGGCTACACGATTGGAGGGTGATGGGTTTACTGTGTGTGGCTCCATCTGCTGGACCTTGCTCTGGGATTCGCATCTTCTCCTTGTGGTGTATGTGTAGAACTCCTGGATGTGGTTTGTTACACATATCAGACTTTAGGCGCCTTCTGCAATCCTTGCTCATGTGTCATGTGTCTCATGTGTTTTGTGAGACATCTGGAACACATTCCAGTTGTTCTCAAAGTCTATCTACCCCCCTCCTCACACCCCCCCCCCCGTCCACCCCCGTCCACCCACGTCCACCCACGTCCACCCCGCCCCACCACAACCAGAGAGCCACAAAGCCAGAAGATGAAAGCTCCTCCTGGACCTCCGGCTCGGTGGATCCAGAACTGAACCCCTGCAGCCTCATGGCCGGTTGTACTGAAGCGTTACCCAATAACTCACACGTACCTTTGAGCAGTTCATTTATTTGATGAACAGGAGGTAAAAACATAAACTTTGACATACATGATGTCATACACGATGTTGGTACAGTAAAGACAAAGAAAAGGCCACCATGAATACCCAGAATGCCTCTGGTGTGCATAGTACAGGATGACCAAGTCCAGCACGATTTACATCCGGTGGCAACTAGTTCTCTTTTTTCGGTTGTTTAACTTTAAACCAGAAACACAGACACAAGAAGTTTATAAAAATAAGGTCGGTACAAGTTGAGGTTTTTTTTTTGCAGCCGAAGTGATATTTTTATCCCATTTGTTTAACTACAAAGAAATAAATAGAAATAAAACAACTGAAGCAGCAAATAGCTACTACAAGATTTGGGTAATAAATCATTTTCCTTCATCTATTAACTGAGGCTACACACGGTTAGCTTAGCATAAGAACAGCTAGCTTTTTAACTGCTAAATGATGGACTTTACAGTTAAACACCTTTAAAGATATTTTATGCTTTGCTCAGTTTGTGAAACAAAAATAGTTTTCTTTGTCCTCATTTATCTTAAATCAGTTTTAATCAAATGTTTCGTCTTAAGTAGCTTTTCACTCAGGAATGAGATCACTCGTAACGTAGCTGCAGGGATAATAAATGAATGATAAACGTCCGGAGGACACAATCACAAATAACTCTGCATATTTCTTTATCTAACTTAAGGATCCCAAATCCGAGCTTTGATATGCAGAATACGATCCAGAAAATACTCAAGAAATATTAAAACATATTTTGATCTGAACATTTACACGTCTGCACAGTTTATTAATCTGTGTTTTTATTGAAGAGTAAAATAAACAAGAAATATGAATAACAAATCCTCAGTCTTGTATTTTTAAATTTATTTTTTACTCTACTTACATTAATCTACGATACATTATTATACATATATTACTATTTAAATGCAATTTAAAGACACACCATTCCTCTTCTTTAAATTAGCTGATGATTAAGGCACTCTTAACTTCTGCTGATGACGTTGTTATTACTTAATATATCACATTATTCTCTAACAACTGGTTACTTCTACAGTTAATATGCAGCTAAACTTGTGAAGCCTTCCACAGCTCAACATTCACTGACAAGTGTTAAGATTTAATAAAGAAAATGTACACACATGTACACACATGTACACAAACGACACACACTTGTACACACATGTACACACATGTACCTACACACAGTTTTAATCCGGCTTCACAGTGGTGAAAAAAACAGAACCAACAGAAAATAAGAATTGATCTGACTGACAACTGATTAAAACTGATCGGGACAAAAGATTTATTTAGTAAAAAATAAATCACAATGGAAGATTGTCAAAACAAGCAAATGGAAACTAAAAAACAGAAACGAAAGAAAAAAGTGCTTTTTTCTTTCACATTATTGCGGTTTTCTTAGTTGAGACTTCAATGATCAATAAAGCCGACGTCCTCCACCAGAACAGATCAACTGGCCTTCAGACTCCGGCCTGAAGGTCTGTGACCTCCCACATGAGCAGAGTTGTGGGGTGTACCGTCTAGTTAGCTTAGCACAAAGACTGGAACTGTCAACGGTTATCTTCCAGTAAAATAAAGAAGAAAGACGTGTTGTGGGATGATGTGATGTGAATAAGCCGAATGTAGATGAGACGAAGCTAAAGACCGGACGACTTCTAAATGCTACCATCCAAAATGCTAACAAGTAGCTCCAAAGCTAGTGACTTCTAAAAACTACATTACAGCTTCACATATTTGTTTGTATTCACATCTAGTAATGCGTGAAACTGAATTCAGCTTTGGGGTCTGAGAAGCGGGTTTTAATTTTCTGGCTAGTTTCCCCCCACTCCCAGTGTGTTTGCTAAGCTATGCTAAAGGTATCTTGACATTGAAGAAGCAAGTTCTCGATACCCCTGATTGGCTGGTACTCGTTGCCTCGGTCGGTGGGATTGGTCAGGATGAGGGTAGGGATATCCGGACGAGCCAATCAGAGCACCCCGTCACTTGGATAACTCGTCTTGTCTTTGTTAGGCCAAGTAGCTCAGACACTAAATAACCTGAAACCATGGAAACCAGACCACTTTGTCACATGCTAAACCAGCAGTTTCCCACTGCTCCCAGCCTTTTTGCCAAGCTAAGCTAACACATCCTGGAAATGATCCGTGTACAGAGAGCACCCACACACCACCGATCAATTTCATCAATAAATGAAAATGTGCAAAAGAAACTGTGGAGTCGGGTTCTGGATGCTTAAATAAAAGGCTGATATTGGCTTATCGCATCTTATTCATATATATTTATATACAGAGAGATATATTTATATCTGTGTGTGTGTGTGTGTGTGTGTGTGTGTGTGTGTGTGTGTGTGTGTGTGTGTGTGTGTGTGTGTGTGTGTGTGTTAGTGCTGGGCAGGTAAACGTGTTATTATTGCACTTCACACTTGTTAATGCCTTTGATTTAATTCATTTTTAAAAGTGTACTTTCAAGAAATATGTAACAACTACTGGGAAAAGGGAACTCTGCTGTTAAAAAACACATATTTAAAGTGTTTTCATAAGTAAGTGCACACACAACTTTTGAATTATTAATTCAATTTTGCAATTAATCGCGACTAATGGCAAAAATCATGCGATTAAAAAATAAATAAAAAAATAATTTTAAAAATGGAATTGAACGAACCCTACACACATATCAAACCCTACTTCATGCATTTCCACTCAAGCATTTTTAGCTTCTTTTTTTTACTCAACTGGCAGTTTGAGGAGCGTTGTTAGATGATGCGAGCGGCAGGAGGGCGGCGATGAGGTAAACGTCATCAATAATCAGAAATAACAAGAGAGAAACAGCATTCTGGTCAAAACAGGAATCACAATCACATGGAAGCTCGAGTCAAACGTGTGCAGGCGATGACTTCTCACGTCTCCAAACTAACATTCTTTATATGTCGACGTGTAGACATATTCTTTACTTTGTTTTTTACCAAAGCAAAACAATGAAAAATAATCTAGAAAAGAATGAACCGATTCCTCGCATATAAAACATGATCCAAAAAATATAGATGAATGCTGTTTTTGTGGTTCTGTGTTTCAGACCTCTTTTGTCAACATGTCATTACAGCAGATGAGTATTGATTGATTATTGATTGTGGAAGAGGTGGAAGAGGTGGAGGAGGTGGAGGAGGTGGAGGAGGACGAGGTGGAGGAGGTGGCCGGGTTTGAGAAGCAGGGCTCCCGTTACCTCCTGCTGTGACGAGGAGCGACTCGTCGTTCTGCTCCTGGAAGACATAAAAGACATAAGACATAAAACACTGTCGTTAGCTAACAAAGTTGAATAAATGCTAAAAGTTGAATTTGTTCATATTCAGGTTGAAAAAAGAAAATGAAACAAAACTAAAGCAATAATTGTTATAGACTAAAGTGATGTATAGTGTGATTGATGTGATGAAGAGGAAGCTGTCCAATAAGACTTAATAGAAGATAATAACACTAATGGGTACAAAATAGAAAAATGAAATGTGTGAAAACTTCCATAAAGTTGAAAAATTGTGAAATATGTCTCAAGATGAGTCAACGTAAAATGTAGCTACGTAAAGTATTAAATATTGGTTTCAAATATGTGAAGAATTAGTTCAAAGTGTAAAAATGTCATACAGATGTCTGAAAAATATGAAAGATCAAATGGAAAATGTAATTGTTACAAATCTTGCCAGTATCTCTGGTATTTTTTTCATATCTTTTAAGATTTAACGTCCACACAAGCAACATAAACGCACAAGGCCTCAAAAGTAGAATAAAGAAATCCAGGATAAGTTAAAAATTGCGACCTGACTCAAGTTGCAAGTTTGCCGAGTCGGGACGAGAAGGAGGACGTTAACGTGGATGTTGTGAGCTGTCACCATGACGACCAGCCCTCAGCAGCTGCTGCCACACGGAGCCTCTTTCACACCGACATTAACTTCTGACGGAAAGTAAGACCTTCTAGCAGGAAGCAGAGGACGGACCCTTCTGATTGGACAGACGGACTGTCTGTCTTTTAACCCTTTTAATCCGAAGCCTTTCGCCGGGGACAAAAAGTGACACGAAGGATTCAAATGACTCCTTAACTATTTGCACAGTCGGATTCTGAAAGCTTTCTAGATATTATGTCAATCAATAAAATGAGGGGCGGGACTGAGAGGCTGTGATGAGGGAGGAAGTGACGCAGCAGGAAGTCACGGAGAGATGGCGAGTGTCTTAAAAGTGTCCTACTAGTGTTTCACCATCGTTTTACCGCCGTTTTGTCCTTCAATTATATTTAGGTGTTGTAAATAAAAGTAAATAAAAGGGTGATCAACATCACACCAACTGATGATATGAAAACAGCCCTCCTTTGGCCGCTGCTGCCTCCTGGAGGCCGACAGAAGAATTGCAGCTGAGGGACTTAAATAAAACCTCTGTGGATAATAAACAGAGAAGATATTAAAATAAAACAGTATATATATTATATACACAACAAATTTATGTTCAGTAATCACTAGTCTGTGTTGCTCATGTGGTTCTTATTGTGAGTAAAGGTTTGTTTGAAATCATGTGACATGTTTCATGTTCACTTTGAACTCTGTCCTCAGAGCTTAGGATCAATAAATGTCTCATGCACTTGTTCTTCTTTTACTACCTCACTATACCACACATATTAGTATTTCAGAAAAGCGGATTGTTGACACCTTCTGACTTTTAAGTTATTTATTCATTAAGGGTTATGATCAGAGTTACGACGGCGAGTTACTATTCATAAGAAGAATGAAATACTTTAAAGGACTCAACTTGTCATCTTCATCCTTCTAAAATAATCCCTTCATCGCAGAGGTCCAATGTTACTGAGATTCAGAGCAACCAGATTATTGAGGGATATAATATTAAAATAAATGTTCCAAAGATTCTTAAAGAGTCTTTTATTGTTGTCCCTGATTGTAGTATTGGAGTACTGGAGATATTACTACTGTTTAGGAATTAAAGCAGGAACAAACACATACTTCTTCATTTTCATTGTTGATGATGTATTGTTATTGGTGTTTCTATTTGTTATCTATATTCTGTCTTGTAAGGAGGGAACATCATGTCTCTACATAAGCTCTGTGATGTTATTTATATATATATATATATAGTATATATATATATATATATCAAATACATATATATCAAATGTGTGCTATAGCATCAGTTAGATGTACAGCAGCTGAAGATGGAGAGAACTTTTAGCATTGGAAGTAAAACAAACAGGAGAACTGCAGAGAAATTCCTCCACATGTCAAAGCGAAGGGGGACGAGTGCATATAGACACTTTAGGACTGATAGTGCCCGGAACATCTTGCTAGCTGCTACGCTGAGCTAGCTGCTAGGCTACTTCCATCTCAACATCTGCAGAGGACCACCACTGTGTCCCTAAAAGACAGTGTTTTGAAAATGTCCCAACTAAATGTGGGACATTGTTGGACCTTCAAACATGTCAAATGATCGAGGGTTGAGAGGAAAATGCATGAGCAGAGCAGGAGGAGTCGCTAGTTCAACATAATTCACCTCCATCATGATCACATGTGTTGAGTTTGTTTAAAAAATACAACTAAACAACAATGTCAGAAATACACATTTTCTAGAGTGATTACTCGTTAATTTGTAACATATAGTCTTTAGAAGAAAAAAACTCTTAATCGCAATTAATCGCGATTAATGGATAAATGTGAGATGGATTAGTTAAGTTTACAAACCAGGAATGAACTCACCTGTGCAAGCGGTGCTCCGGTGTGATGAATCTTTTGGTAATCCGCGTGCCGATGGTTATTCCCCTTCATCCATCCGTCCTCTGATGATCCCACAGATTCTTGAACTCAAGTTTTATTTCATTTGTCAGTTTTGTAAACTTTGAAGAGGCGACTTGTTGCTCATCCGGCAGGCAGCGATCGGTTGGATCGATGAACGTGAGAGCGTTCCTCATTTAGGGAATGGGTATTTTTGAAATTTGAGTTTAAATTATTAATAATAAATTATTATTAAGTATTTATGGGGTTTTAAAATAAAGAAACGCGGCTAAAATTCTCAAGTTGAATTTGGAAAATGTCTGTAGTTAATTTGTGAAACGCTGAACAAAACAACTTAAAATAAAATATCAAATCATGTAAATGTAGATTTTCAAAATGTTACGTTTCAACCTAACAAGCGACGGCTTTGATACTAATTCAGGGAATTCTGTTACAGGTTCAAATTCAAGATATTTGACCCACAAAAAGCGGCTTAATTATTTCAGTATTTTTATATCTTTGTAGATTTCGTTAATTAGAGATAATTCTGTTCATATAACAGTATTTTTTATTCTTATCTTATTTTATTAAATTTTCTTATTACATTGCACCAATTCATCAAGTCCAATGGGTGACATATGTGGCGATAAATGTTTTCTGATAAATATCTCAAATCAGATAATATTAAACAGATATAAATAGCGTCAATCAGTCAAGCTTGAATTGTTTTTTTTACTTTACACATGAACTCTGCACGTTTAGATGACGTCACTGGCCAGATTATTAAAGAAGTGTGAGATCATTTCCTGGATCTCATTCTGTTTCTCAGGGCAGACGATACGGGGAGGAAGGGCTGGAGGGTTGCTATAGGAACTGCCTCCACGTGGGGGCGGGGCTTCTCCTCCTCCACGTGGGGGCGGGGCTTCTCCTCCTCCACGCGGGGGCGGTCGTGGTTTGGGGAAAAACAATAAACAAAAGCTGCACCTGATTCACAAACTGAGGATTAAAAATCATCTGTGCAGAGTCGAGCGCGCGCGCGTGTGCGTGTGTGTGTGTGTGTGTGTGTGTGTGTGTGTGTGTGTGTGACCCTCTTCAGTCTGCATATTTGGGTTTATTTTGGTCTTATATTGTCTCCGCCTCAGAAAAAAACGAATGTAAACGTTAACCTGCATTATTATTATTACAATAAATTACTAAGAGAATCATTAATCATAATATTAAAGTGCTACAATCATTTCTAAGCCTTTGCCTCCCTGACTCGTGCGTGATGGAAGACGTGGTGCGTGTGGCGGGTGCGGGTTCCTCTGATGATCCAGGAGCGCGCCGCCCTCCCGGCGGGGGGTCACACGTCGGTGAGCCTCCCGCTGCGGGCTCTCTGCGGGCTGCAGTTGGTGCGCATCACGGGGTCTGGGTCGTCCCGGTCTCGGTGGTCCAGCTTGGACAGGGACGACCCGCTGTCGCTGCGCTCGAGCTCCCCGAACTGCTGCTGGCCGCAGGTCACGTGCGTGTACCGGAACTGCTCCTCGCCCTCCGTCTCGCGGTGGTAGAAGTAGTTGAAGTTGGACACGATGACCGGCACCGGCAGCGCGATGGTCAGCACGCCGGCGATGGCGCACAGCGAGCCCACGATCTTCCCCCCGATGGTCACCGGGCACATGTCCCCGTAGCCCACCGTCGTCATGGAGACCACGGCCCACCAGAAGGCGTCGGGGATGCTGGTGAAGCCCGAGTCCGGGTCGTCCGTTTCGGCGAAGTACACGGCGCTGGAGAAGAGGATGACGCCGATGAAGAGGAAGAAGATGAGCAGGCCCAGCTCCCGCATGCTGGCCTTCAGGGTCTGCCCCAGGATCTGGAGCCCCTTGGAGTGGCGGGACAGCTTGAAGATGCGGAAGACCCTCACCAGGCGGATGACCCGCAGGATGGCCAGGGACATGGCCTGCTGCCCGTTCCCCTGGTGCTCCGCGAGTTGGAGCCCCAGCGTGATGAAGTAGGGCATGATGGCCACGATGTCGATGGAGTTCATCATGTTCTTGAAGAACGCAGGCTTGCTCGGGCACGCGAGGAACCGCACCAGCAGCTCGAAGGAGAACCAGATGATGCAGAGCGTCTCCACGATGAAGAACGGGTCCGTGAACGGGTTGGGCTTCTTGGCGCGCGCGGTTCCGTTTCCCGCCGGCAGCTCCCCAAACGCGCGCGGCTCCTCTCTGAACTCCGGTAAAGTCTCCAGGCAGAAGATGACGATGGAGATGAGGATCACGAGCACGGACACGATGGCGATGCCGCGCGCGGGCCCCGAGCTCTCCGGGTGCTCGAAGAGGAGCCAGACCTGCTTCTGGAACTCCTTCTCCGGCAGGGGCCGCTCCTCCTCCCGGATGAAGCCCTCGTCCTCCTTAAAGTTCTCGATCACCTCTTCCCCGAGCTCGTAGAACTTGAGCTCCTCCATGAAGATGTCCACGGGCACGTGCACGGGTCTCCGGAGCCGGCCCCCGGACTGGTAGTAGTACAGGATGGCGTCGAAGCTGGGCCGGTTCCGGTCGAAGAAGTACTCGTTCCTCAGCGGGTCGAAGTAGCGCATTCTCCTGCGCGGGTCCCCGAGGAGCGTGCGTGGGAACCGGGCCAGCGTCCTCAGCTGCGTCTCGAAGCGCAGCCCCGAGATGTTGACCACCACGCGCTCGCAGCAGTCGTGGTTCTCGGCGCGCTCAGGGTCGTGCACATCCTGGAGTGCCACAGTCTCATCCAGGTTCTCTCCGGTCACACGGGTCATGTCCCCTCCCCCCTCCACAATCTACCACACTTGAAGGGACGAACTACAGAGCATACCCCCGTCGCATATCTTTGTGCGTGTGTCTTGAGCCCCACTTCAGAATCATTACTCAGACCTATAGTGGTAGTTCTGGTTGCGTGATATTTTCAGAGGATTCATGCCTGCTTAGATCGGGTGTCTAGCACACGACCTGGTAAATTTCGTCGGAGTGACTTCACAACTGTTCTCTC